GGCAATGATGATAGTGGGGGCCGCCATAACAGCCGATGGTCGCTCTCCGCTCGTTTTAATCGACCGTGGCATCAGTATAAATCCCGAATATTGCCGCGAAAATATTGTGGAGGGTGTATTAAAGCCTTGGGCAAGAAAACATTTTGGCCGCAGACCTTGGACATTCCGACAGGATTCAGGAGCATCGAAATCAGTACGCGCCACCCAAGAATGTTTATAAAGTGATGTTCCTCGCTTCATTTCTAGCACACGATGGCCACCAAAATCTCCAATCCGTTGGACTATTGTGTCAGGAGTATTTTGGAAAGCAAGCTTGGCACTAAAAATACCAAAGTGTCGATTACCTCAAGCAAGTGCTTCGCCGGGAATGGGCCAAAATACCGCAGAGCAACATTCGGGCGGCGTGTGACGGTTTCATTGGCTGTTTGAAGGCCATAATTCGTGCCAAAGGTAGCCAATTTGAACAAATCTAAATTTATTCTAAAATTTGATGCTATTTCCGACATTTTTTGCTTTTATTCAAAAAAAAAAAAAAAAAAAAAAAATGTAAAAATTATGGCGTTTGACTTTATTGCAGTTTTTTTTTTTATCTCACCCTGTATAATATGTTCACAAAATCTCGTGTTAGAAAATAATGTTTTGAAGGGGTTCGCAGATATACATATCATCTCCACAGCAGATCTTGTGTTGGCAAAAATGTTTTGAAGTGTAAAAGTTGAAGCAAATTGGATGCTCATTTCGCTTTCTTTGAGCGTTTTGTTTTTCAAAATCTTGAACCCTTTTCGGGGGAGGTACCAGAAGGAGATCTTGTGTCAGTATAAATAATGGGATGTGCAAAATTTGAAGAGAACCGCATGTTTATTTCGAATTTTATGATCGTCAAAACTTTGACCCTTTGTGGGGAAGGTACAAGAAGAAATGGTCCGGTATCTACCATCTTTATAACAGATCTTGTGTCGATGGAAATATTGTGAAGTGCCAAGCCTGAATGGAATCGGATGTTAATTTCGCGTTTTATGAGCTTCATGGATATTCAAAATTTTGACCCTTTGTGTGGGAGGTACCAGAGGGAGTAGACCCATATATTCTATCTTCACAAAAGACCTTTGATTAATAAAAAAATATTGTGATGTGTGTAATTTAAAGACAATCGGACACTTGCATCATATTTTATGCGAGTTATAATTATTCAAAATTTTGACCTTTTGTGGGCAAGGTACTTGATGGAGTAGACCGATATTATCCATTTTTTCTAGCTGATGCAAATATTATGATTTGCAAAGCTAGAGCAAAATCGGATTGTCCTTTCATTTTCTGTGCGGATCTTTTTGAAAATTTCGATTACATTTCTCCAATATTTGGATGGATGGATTCATTTCATTTTATGTGTTTACTATTATGGGTGAAGAAGACCTTCTGTTCTACCATATGGTAACTTTCGAATTCTACATAGAAACATAAAATCCGATGATGACACAAATAGTGGACTTAGCCAGGAAAACTGAATTCTGACCGTCTGCGGATATATTTCTATATTTCTTTTTTTTTTCTAAACACTGTGCTCAATATTGTCATCAAATAATTCTGATTTCAGTTATTGCCAAAATTTGCTTTGAAAAGCTTCGTGACCGAATATCTATTATAATAACCATACTCAGCTACCATACACATTCGGCTTATAACTCGATATTTATTTCAAATACCATAAACAACAGGAATGGAAGCAATTGAAATTTAGTTACATCGAAAGATTAGAGAGGATGAATTCATTTCGAATCCGAAACACAAAAACCAGAGTCATCTACAACAATTATATTTTAAAATATATGCATCTACAGCAAAAAAAAGACACACACAATAGGCCAGATAGAGTTGACAAATAGTCAGTCATACAGACAAATCCACAGACACAGTCATCGATAGTTGTTACAACGAAACATGAAGCAAATACTGCCAATCTATCCTAACCCTCCCCCTCCCCCACCCCATTTGCATTTGCATTGGCAGAATAAAACAAAAGCAAATCTCACACACACACAAAAAATATACACTTAACACCATGATTTGTGCAGAACAGAGCACAGCTACATGCATACTTCGCAGGTATTAAATGCTGGCTGTCCACGTTTCCCCACCCAACCGCTTCCCGGCTCTGACCCCTGATGGGACGCCAGTTTTGTATAAATGTATATTTTTCTAGCCATTTTGTTGTGCCGTACAATGATGATTGGATTTATCGGCAATCGCATGGCCACCGCCACCGTCACTGTCGCTTTTCGCGCTCTGCTTTTGCAAAATCAAATCAAAACTACACCAATTCAAAGAGGAGAGATGATGAAGCAGAAGCAATGGCTAAATAACCAAATAACCGACCATTAGATATTTAATAAACGAGTAGGTCGTTGATAGATAGATTGCAAGCAAGCTGCACCCAGAGAAAAAATGACAACATCCGTGTATGAAATGACCACATCCGTGTATGATAGTGTATCAACCACGTTTGGTGTCAAAATGAGCACGCTGTTGTCATTTTGACACCGAGATTTTGGCAACGATTTCAACAACAGATGTGCATGAAATGAGCACATACGTGGTCATTTCGAGCACGCCCCGTTGTCAGATTGTCAACGCTTCGTTGTCAGATCGTCAACGCTTCGTTGTCAGATTGTCAACGCTCCGTTGTCGGATTGTCAACGCCCGTTGTCAGATTGAAATCAATGGTGGTCATTTTTTGATATCCGTTCCTTTTCCATTTTATACCCTTAGTAGAAGAAACGACATTTTTTGAAAAGTATTTTATTGAACGAAACCAATTACATAAATTCAATATAAATACATATTTGATTTAACAAAACAATTCGAATTACATATATTCAATGTATAGAAACAAATTAAATTAACTTAAATCTGAAATAAACTTTTCCATTATTCATAGGATATAAGTGAAATGGGTAAGTAATAAAATCTAAAATTGGTATTAAAAAAATTGTATCCTCATTCAGAGAACCAACTTCATACGATTGTAAATGGTAATCAAAGTTTTTAACTTTTACTTGGTTACATAAAATGTAAACATTTTCATTTTCAATTATTAAATGTTTAATTTTGAAAAGTTCAATTGCGGCATTATTTGTTGCTAAATAATAGTTTTTTTTATACCTAGTTCCCTTAAAAAAAATGTCATCAGACACTTTGCAATTTTGGTAATTTAAAACTGGCTTACTTTTTTTGTAACAATATTCCTCTTTTGCCAAATCTTCGATGGTATGCGTATTAATGATAACATTTGGTTCTAAGTTATCTTCGTGTTTTAATAAAAAATTGGAAAATTTCAATCCAGACTTAATAGATAATGAACGACAGGGATTTACTCTTGATGTAGTATTTCCTAAATAGGCTTTTGCTTCCTTGTGTTTAGCTTCGAATCTCATGCTCCAGAGATATTTAAGGGGACCACATTTTCGGATAGCTGTGGGATAGTGGACAAGAAAGTGGTGTTTCGGTTTTAACGAACCGTATAATGTTATATAAAGTGAATGGTGATCTCTAATTAATTCTTCCAATTTTATTAAATCGTCTTCTATATAACTTGGTCTTAAAAGTAAATCGATTATTTGTAATAATATTATAAAAACTTTCCAGTGATCGTTGGAGAAAGGAATTAAATCGCCTACCATTAAAGGTAAAAAATTAGTAAAACACATAGTTTCACTAGCTGTCATTTTTAAGTTATAGTTTTTCAATCTACATAAATCTAGTGGTCCAGATTTATTTCCCACTTCAATTTCTCCAAATTGGAATAAAGATTTTCTGCTGTTAATACAATCTAACGTAACAATATTTTCTTGAATCAGCCCGAGAATTACATTAGACATATCGTAGACACATATGCCCTCGAAAATGTCATGCATAATATCAAAACAAAAATTTTCAGTGACGTTAAAATTTGGTAAAGATTCGAAGATACACTTGTTTTTAATACCTGTTTCTTGAAAATTATTTTCCAATACATTTGAGTTGTAATTCTCTTGGTTTCTTAAACTATCTAAATGCTGAATTGCGTCGAATTGCATTTGGGACTTTTTTCTTCTACATACCCGGCAAAATCTTTTAGAGTTAAATGATTGCACGTAGCCTAAAATACTATTAACTGCTAAATTATCTCCAATAATTACACCTAAAATAAAATGCACCTTCTGAACACTTTGTTGAACACAAATTTCAACCCCTTCTTCTAGAATTTTTAACTCTTCTACAAGATTGTGAAATGAAACTTCATTTCCACGTTCTTTTAAATCCTTTGATGGTATAAACGCAGCAGTTAATATATAATCAAGTTTTGACAACAAGTGCTGTGGCATTGAAGGAAAGCTAATATAACAACCACATATGGAAAATGTATGGGTTCCAAGAGGATTATTAATTTGAAAATCATCCATGTAAAGGACATAGGGAATAACTAAATTGTACTGATATTTTAATAATTTAGTTTTATATAACTCACCGTTTGTAAAATTTTGTAAAACAGGTGAATTTAGGAATTTTTTGGAGTTTTCTAATGTCAAATCTAAGAGATTTGGAATTTTAAAAAGGGCACTTATCATGAATTTCAGTGGCATTATATAAATATTGGATAACTTTGGACCTAAACTGGGATTTCCGCTGATAACAATTTCCGAGACTTGATTGCTAATTACATAAACCTTTGGATCATCATAAAAGTTTAGTTCTTTTAAAATTTTTAAAAGTCTATATTCCGTTCTAGTTTCTTCGAAAGGATTTTTACAAAAGTTTAGTAAGTACCTTAAGTCTTCATAATTTGGATGATCAGTTATATATTTTTCAATTGTACATGAAATGGATGAAAGCAGAATTGAAACAGAATGTTGTATTTCTATAACATGATTTCTAGGCATATAGCTTTGACCATGTAATTGTAAAGACAGATATAAGGTTTTCTTTTTCAAAACATTTAAATCCTTTTCTATTGTATTGTTGTTAATAACAGTTTCACTGTTTGTATAATCATTTTCTTTTGATGATGACATTTCAACTGGCACATTAATGGCTTTAACCATTGGTGGAGCTTTTGTGTGATTCTTGTGAAGTTTTTCTAAATGAATTCTGAATGACGTAAATTTTGTAAATGTTTGCTTACAGTTGTCCTGAACGCATTGTACTTTTAAAAATTTAGTGGACATTAAATGGTCTGTTTTCAAATGAGCTATTAAAAGATTTGCCTTATCAAAATGCTTACGGCAACGAAAGCAAATATACATTTTGAATTGTACTTTAATTATTGTTGCAGAAATTAATAAGTGAAGTCAAATTAACTGATTTTATATCATATACAGTATTAATTTCATAAAAATATTTTTGGATAAAAATCCATGGAATTTGGCAGGCATTTGGATATTTTAAAGAAAGTGCATGAAAAATTTTAAAACATGTATCTAAACATTCGAGGAACGATTGAAATTTTAACAAATTGTGGTTAAAAAAAACATAAAAACCTTTTATATTGAAATCGGACAAACCCTCCACAATTATAAATGGCTGTATAGTTAATCCAGCATTGTAATACTTTTCAGTGACTGTATCAATTTGCCTTTTATAATCGTTAATTGTCGGTAGTCGCAGTACGAAACTTTCCTGCGAATCAGCTATTGTTACTTTTTTTCGTAATTTACCGTTTCCACATTTAAACCTAGCAGGTGATGGTAAAACTGAATTCAACAGTATTGCGTATATATAATCTTGAGCATCTGCAACCGAAATATAAAATAAATATTACTTTTAATGTTTATGATAAATCAGGAATTAAAATTTACCTATGCTGCTTGCCGTCAAAACATTTGCGAAGAGTTGTTTGCAATGTTCGTTATGAATATTTTTCCCATAATAATTGTAAATTTTTTTCTTAAATTGGTCCCATTTAGAAAGTAGAAGATTGCCTTTCTGTGGATACATAATATCGAAATCAATGTTGACCTAAAACGAAACATTAGTATCCATATACAAATAAATAGCTCATGGCTACTTACCAATTCTGAAGCTCTTGCATCGGACAACTTCGTCCATTCAAGGAGAAATGTATGGCTACTTAAATTTTTTATATCTCTTTGCCGTATGTTAAAAGATCTTTTCCATTTTTCGCAGATCGATCCCCAATCATTACATTCTCTTAGTAAGGAAGCTTTCAATGAATTTTCAACTGATTCATCAATTTCGGGAACATCTTTGTTACAAAAATTAGGAGATGTGTGAGTTGCTGCTTTGCTTGTGCTAGGCTCGGAAATCAAAAGCTTTATTCTTTTGGACTTCTTGTTTCTATACTTGGCATAAAGTTTTCCGCTTGCGTTGTTCTTTCCTTTTCTTGAAATGTAATAATAATCCTAAAAATAAAGACATATTATAAGTTAAGAAACTACATAATCAGATACGTTGTTTATATTGTTAATCTTACCCTCATTTCGTTTTCAAGAGGAAAAACGGAACAAATTTCATCCAATATGCGCATATAGTCTTGAGTGTAAAGAGTAACATTGTTGGTTAAAATATCTTCAATAATTATATTAATTATATCATCTCTTTGCTCGTCACTTAATTTCTTATTAACGCTACTACATTCAAGCGCTAGTTTCCCCTTCGAGGTATGTGTTAACAATTCCGTTAGATCCTATATTAAATAAAAAAACTACATTAACTATGCTTACACAAATATTACTCTTACCTTACCTCTGACAAAATTCCTTTGGCTTTTGAGCAGTTCGAACCTGTAGTGTCGGGAGTACCAGGAGTACTTGCAGGTGTCTCGTTGCGTTTCCACCATTCACCTATTTTAGATGGAACTGACATAGTTTCGTCATCAATCCCGAGCTATTGTTATGACAATATTAATACTGAGTTCAACTCTGTAAAACAAATAATACGTACCTTTCGTTTTTTCCAAGCAAAGAGCTTTTCTCTGAATTCAACACGCAGTCCCAATGGTGGCACTGCTTCCTTTAAATCTTCTTTTTTCAAGTACTGCAAGCTGCGAAATGTTACATGTGATGCTAAAAGAACAAAAAAGAAAATTCTTTGTTAATTACACTGATTAACTGAAAAATTCATTTTTATTTACTTACCTTTTAATTGTTCAAAAAGCGACTCCATATTTATTCCTTTTAAGAACTCCCTTAACATATAATCGTCCTCATTGTTTTCCGCATCTTGACTGCTGTAATGGTTTGTATCGCGAACCACAACAATATTGCCATCGATTTCTAACAACTCACCAATGATATTTTGAGGATCTTGCGAATTATTATTCATTTTCAATAAATTTTTTGCACAATGCGTCCTTTCTCTTTCAATAACACGGAAAAAATGGTAAATATGCAGCCGATTGCACACGAGTAAAAAAAATGACAACGGTGGTGCATGATTCATACACGGTAGTTGCTAAAATGGCAACGATCGTGTACGATTCATGCACGTCGGTGTACAAAGTAACAACGGTGGTGCATCATTATGCAGGTGGTGGTGCATAATTCATACACGACCGGTGTCATATTGACAACGACCGTGTGTGAATCATGCACCACCGTTGTCATTTTTTACTCGTGTGTAATCGGCTGCAATTACCAATATTACAAATGGACAAATTAAGCACGGCTGTTGTTGGTACCGAAAGTTGACCACGTCTCGGTGTCAATTTGAGCACGTTCGTGCACAATTCACCAACAGCCGTTGTTGAAAAATATAACAACGGGTCGTTGCGAAAATGACAACATACGTGCTTGATTTCGCAACGGGATTTTTCCCTCAGTGTGGATGCATGGCTGGCTGGCTGGCTGGCTAAAGTAGTCGTCATGCCGCCGCGGGGAGGCAGCCATACAGGCTGAGAGCCAATCGGCCAACTAGTCTGAGAGTCAGTTAGTCAGATGTTTTTGCTCCCGGCAGTCAGAATGCAAATACTCGCACAAATCATTCATAGGTTGAATCAATCAGAGATACCCTACAACTGGAATAGATGGTGGTCCACTAGAAAATATTCGTAAAAGATCGACATTATTGGTCGTATTGGGAAATATTTAAAATAAAATTTTCCTAATAAAAAGCAAGTAAAAATGACGGTTAATTTTGTAAGGTTGAACTTTTTATAACACTATTATACCTCTCAGCTCAAGCTCAACTTCTTTGCTTTTGGTAGTAATGGTACTTTACGTACATTTGGTACTTTCCATACCGTGTCAGGCCATTTTAGTCCTCTAAATGCACAATTTTTTCAGTTTGACAAAATTCTCTTATCAAAACTTCCGTCCTACCGTCCTACATTGTCAGACTTTCAAGGTTTTATATATTATTCAAGTTTTTCCTTTTTCGGAAAGGATAATAGAAAATTTTAACCTTTTACACCAAAAAGTTTAAATTTCGGAGTTTACCGAGGAGGATGTGAGTAAGCCATTGCAGTATGGACCCACATCCAATTATTCTGTCCAAAACTATTTCCACATCTCCATATGTAATCCCTAGAAACCAACAGTCACCTCAATATCAAATTTCAGGATTTCAGCTCTATTCCTTCGTCCAATATCAGATTTAGTACCATTTAGTACTTTACGAACAATTAAAGTACTCATTTCCAAACCACCATCAAATCTCAAACACAAATACCAACAGTGACATCTATGTCGAATTTCAGGATTTCAGCCCTATTTCTTCACTCAATACCAAATTCAGTACCATTTAGTACTGTTCGTACAAATATAGGACGCATTTCCAAACCACCACCACCAAATCCTAAATACAGATACCATCAGTAATCTAAGAAACAAATTTCAGAATTTTGTCTCTATCCCTTCACCCTATATCGAATATAGTACCATTCGGTCCAGGCTACACATGAACAACGACCCCAATACCAAATTTCAGATTTAATGCACCATCATCATTACCTAATACCAAATTGTACAAAATAAAGTACTATTTAGTACTTTTCGTGCACTTGTAGTACACATTTCCAAAACCACCTCTTTATCACAAATCTACCAACAACAGGGACCTCAGAAAAATATTTCAAAAATATGACCAATTATTGCCCTTATGATCTTCTGGAAATATTCTTAAAAAAATCCTCAATTATTGCCCTGATGGCTCTCTAAAAATATTTTAAAAAAATATGCCCAATTATTGTCCTGAGGGCCCTCTAGAAAGTATTCTTCAATAATGTACCTTTATGGCGCTCAAGATTGATGGACCCCTGGAAAATATTTCTAAAATATCCACTTTTATTGCCCTGATGGTCATCAAGAAAATATTCTCTAAATATCCACTATTGTTGCTCTGATGGACCTCTGAAAAATATTCTTAAAAATCTTCCATTATCGCTCTGATGGCCCTCTAGAAATTTTTTTTTTTCAAAAAATCCTAAATTAGACCTTTGAAAAATATTCTTCAAAAGTTCCCAATTATTTGCTTGAAGGATCCCTAGAAAATGATCTTAAAACTTTCCGAAATATTGAACTGAAAGTCCCAGGAAAATATTTTAAAAATATGATTATTATTGCCCTGGTGGCCTTCTAGAAAATATTCTTCAAGAATCCCAAATTGTTGTCCGAAGGCCTTCTGGAAAAAATCTTAAAAATACATAATTATTGTCCTGATGGCGCTCTGGAAAATATATTCTTCAAATATCCCAATTTATTGGCCCCCCAAAAAAGTATCTGTAAAATTCCATATTTCTTGCCTTGACGTCCCTCTGGAAAATGCCCTTAGAACATTTCCATTTATTGCCCTGATGGGCCTATGGAAAGTATGTCTTAAAGATCCACTTTTATTTCTCTGATGGTCATTTACAAAATATTTTCAAAATATCCACAAATTTTGCTCTGATGAGCCTCTGAAAAATATTCTTAAAATCTTCAAATATTGCCCTGATGGTCCACTAGAAAATATATTTGAAAATGATGATGGACTTATTTTCTTGATAGCTCCGTAGTAAATTTTCTTAACATTTTCCAAAATATTTTACTGATGGCCCTCTAGAAAATATTCTTTAAAAAATCCGCAATTATATTACGCTAAGGGCCTTCTAGAAAATAATCTTCAAAAATTCTTAATTATTTCCTTGATGGTCTCCCTAGAAAATATTCTTAGAAAATTCCCAAATATTGGCCTGATGGCTTTCTAGAAAATATTTTTTAAAAAAATTCTTAATTATTGGCCATGGCCCTCTGAAAATATTTATCAAAAATCCGCAATTATTTCCAGGATGGCCCTCTGGAAAATATTCTTAAACATTTCCCAAATATTGACCTGATGGGCCTCTAGAAAATATTCTTTAAAAATCCACAATTATGGTCTTGATGGCCCCTTAGAAAATATTCCCAAAATTTCCTAAAATTTGACTTGATGACTCTCTGGAAATATTCTTCAAAAATCCCCAATTATTTCCCTGATGACCCGCCCCCTAGAAAGCATTCTTAAAAAAATCCCCAATTATTGCCCTGGTGGCCTTCTAGAAAATATTCTTCAAAAATTCCCATTTATTACCCGGATGACACACTCTAAAAAATTCTTAAAAATTTCCTAAATATTGGCATTATGACCCTCTAGAAGGTTATCTTTAAACAAATCTCTAATTATTGCCTTTCTGAAAAATATTCCTCAAAATCCTTAATTATTTCCTTGATGGCTTCCTAGAAAATATTCTTAAAAATTTCCTAAATATTGACCTGATGGCCCTCTAGAAAATATTCTTTAAAAATCTCCAATTATTGGCCTAATGGCACCTAGAAAATATTCTTAATTTTTTTTCAAAATATTAAACTGATAGCCCTCTGGAAATTAGTCTTAGAGACCCCCAATTATTACCCCAAAGTCCCTCGGCGAAATATCCCTAAAAAGCCCTAATTATTGTCCTAAAAAATATTCTAAAAAAATATCCCTGATGCCCCTCCTGAAAATTTTCTCAAAAATCCCCAATTATTTGCTCACTTCTTTCCACCTGATGGATGTCTGTGTTATAGGGTATCTCCACATCTATTAGATACTACAATAAAACCAACAATAACAACTCTATATAGATAAATATTAAAATATCAATACACCAACATCACCAATCATCATCACCATCCTCAGCCACAGCCATCAGAGTCTGCCTGGCTGACTGACAGTCTGTCAGGCATTTAGCCACACTGACTGACCACCACCACCATTACCCATTGGGGCTGGGTCAGAATCGATTCATATCGAAATGAAATATTGTGCATAATGGCCAGGGACGGGGGAGAGGTGTACAGTCGTTGAGTTGTACATACACACATCCATACAAACGTACGTACGTTCGTACATTTATTCGTTATGAACTGTCAGTCTTATTTGATTTACGAGTACTTTGAACGAATGCAAATGTTCGAATTGTCACAGTTCGAATATTTTGTAGTCGAGAGAAATTTATTCCAACAACAAAAACAAACACTAGTACAACAACAGCAACAGAAACAACAACGAACAGCTACAACGACAACATGACGACATCGTATAACCACCAGCCATTTCAGCGTTGATTTCATTGAAGGAGTCGGTGGCGACGGCGTCGAAGTCGGCGGGTGTTAATTATAACAAAAAAGAAAAACAGCAGCAACAACAACAATAAAATTAGCTGCTGAATTCAATAAACAAACCGAGAGTAGAATGAATATACAGGCTATCATTGTTGGGAACTACTGCAGTAGTAACCAACCCCCTCTTCATCATCTTCCGGCTAGTAGAAACAATATTCATACAATTATTCTCATTGTTGTAAATGTGAAAGTATAATTCGAGTTTGTTTTAATTTTTTTGGTTAAAAGCGGGTTGAGAACATACCATTTAGGTTTTGAAATATGTTTTTCAATATTTAACCATCCATCTTTTCTAATTAGGTAAGGTCATTGACCGTGTAAAAAGATATCATTTAATATGTAAAGGGGGTACAAATGAGCTAGTTGCTCATCACTGTGTGATGTATTTAGATGTATTTATGATTAAAGAGATAATTTTGGTACTAAAGAGAATCTTCGGCAGGTGTTCAGAATAATGTACAATAAAATTCATTTTTTTTTTTCGATAATTACAGGAAAACCCCAATAGATAACACTGTGCGACATTTTTTTTTTCAATTTATTACAGAGAAATTCCAACAGATTATGTAAGTGGAGCTTAAAAAGAAGATACGTCTAACGGCGTTTTCGAAAGTTTTTAACAAAAATTAACCTAAATAGAGGAGGCAAGTTCCACCCTGCTCCAATTTTTTTTTACATTTCTGGATTAAGATTGTTTGGAATCCTGGCATTTTAGGTATATAGTGTCTATATAGTGGTAATATTACAGCTAATAATGCGATTCTTATTTTGGTAGACAAATTCAACCCTCCAAACGAGTCACTACCTGGGTACTTTTTTCCCCTTTTTTAAAGTGTGGTTAAAAACTCCTGTAAAACGATATCGTAGCAAGTCAAAATATTTTACAAAATTTATATGAAAAATATTCATAAAAAATTCTCAATTATTGTCCTGGAAAATATTCTGTAAAAATATGTACAGTTACTGCCCTGATGGCTCTCAGGAAAATATTTTAAAAATATGCTCAATTATTGCTCTGATGGCCATCAGGATAATATTTCTCAAAAATCCACAATTATTTGCCCTGTTGGCCCGCAAGAAAACATGCTTCCAAAATCCAAAATTGTTGCCCTGATATCCCTTCTAAAAATATCCACAATTATTGCACCGATGGTCTCCAACAAAATTTACTGCAAAATTGCATATTTTTGGCCCCTGGCAAAT